GCTATAATTACTGATTCTTAAGTTTTAAAGCTTCCTTATTTTCCCTACACCTACGCCGTAAATTTGAAAAACGGTGGTCGGAACACGCAAAGTGCTCCTCCTTTTTTCTTTTTTGCCACTTAAGATCAGACACCAAATAGTCAGCAACGATTCAAGTGGTAATTGTTCCGACTTTCGTCACGAAAGTAACAGAATTTCTGTGCTCGGGTTGGGTTTTTTTCTTCAGACAAATTTCGAATTTTTAACTAGCCATTTTTGACGGAACGTTTTCTCATCAATCGAAAGCTTTTGTTGTCCTGAGATTAATTTTTGAAAATATTTTTCACCTGTAATCGTTTTCCGTACAGCTATGGGGGTTTAAAGATTGCCACTTTGGCCGATTTAAGACAATTAACGCGCGATATATTTCGCGCTATTAACGCGTAAGCGAGATTTATTCTGTATTAGAAATCCTTCCAACTTGATTCAAGGAAGCTTATATGTCATAATTGATTTGTTAATAGGAGCAAAATTTACCACTTTGTTTTTAATATGGCGTGTGGGGGATGTTTTCACAAAAAATATCAAATTTTTTTTTAGTTTTTATTTTTTTTTCATTTAATTTTTCATGCTCTTGCTGCTCCATAGACCTTAAAAGGCAGCCGGAACACTTAGGGCTTTGCTCTGATACGAGCAGTCTTGTTCATATTTAATCTGTTTTAATTGTAAATTTGTCGACAACAAAAAGTTGTCAAACGCTTTTGAAATTTTTGTTTGCTGTTTTACTTCGATATAAAGAGCAAAATCATTAGTTTACTGCAAAAAAACTAGTTTTAAAAGCTTCCTTTAGTTATTCATTGTTAATGAGTATTTCCAACTTACTAACATTCTAGTTTTTCCTTTGTTTCCGCTAATCACAGCAAGAACGACAAAAATTTGAACGAGTTCATTTTTTCAGTTACAAAATTGCCATTAACTTTCAGATGTGTGCCTGAAACATCAAAGAAAAATTTCAGCCATTAAACTTCAGACGATGAGTGCCTGAGACATCAAGTGATTTTAACCGTGCTTCTGTTCCAGCCGTAAAAAAAAACAGCTCATAAGATTTCGCAGAATCAACAATCATTTATTATCAGTTGTTTGATTTTGATTATTATGTTAATCACTCATGGCGAGTACGGCAAAAAACGAATAACCTGTTTATTAAAGAGACTATTTTGTTTTTGTTTTTGAGAGAATCAGTTTTGGTCGAAATTTTAGCGCTTATTAAAAAAAAGTTACCTTTCAGAATTTATGGCGGAAAAAATCGAAGGTTTGTTCAAGGGCGGTGTTTCGAAAAAGCTCAAACTTTCAGACGTCGGAGGAATTGTTTCCAAAATCAATTTTGATGATCTTTCGTTATTTTTTTACAAATTCAATCTCCACAAAACAAATTATTAACGAAATATGTTTTATGAGCTTTCAATATGAAAACATTTCTATCAATAAAAATTTTGATGAGAGTACTCAACACGGATGGGAAGCGGAGCTTTGCAACTTTTGCGATGCAAAATACACATTTCACTACACGAAAGTGATTGGAAAAAAGACAACCAGGAAGAAATTGAAAAAATTATTTGATAAAAAAACTTGAAAAAAAGACAAAAACACAGCTACGAAAAAATCGCGATTGTATAGGATGAAGTTGATAAACACCCTTAAGAAGAAGTAGAAACCTATTACCGGGCGACAAAAAATTTTGGGTCGAAATCTGGTGTCATAAAAAACTTCATAAAATTTTGAAAGCTGATTGATCTTCCATCAAAAATATCAAGACTGAATTTGGGAGCAGATTGATCAACTTTTCATGCTAGTTTTTTAAGATTATAAGGCAGTTTTGAAAGCAGCCAGTGAATTAGTGACAACAGTTCTAAATATTGAAGCCTAGAATTAACTTTGATTTGAAAAGCAACGACCAAAACATGTTTTGGATCAAAAATGAACAAAAAGAAAAAATTTTTCAAAATCATTTTAGATGGGAGAATGTTTACGTGGTAATGCATCTTCTTTAGAAAAATATCAGATTGACTCATTGAAGTCTCAATTTGTTGCCAATTTGATCATGACCGCTTCTCGGAAAAGCTTCCCAAAAACGTTCATATAATGTTTCTTTTTGTAATTCCTCTTTAAAGACTTTTTAATGGAGAGAAAACTGAAAATACGAGATCTTTGATTGACTTGAATGCGTACTAATTTAACCAGTCTTTGCGCTAGCATATGATTTGAAACTCGAATGATTTTTTTACATACAAGAGAGATGTTTCGTAAATTTCGAAATTGTAAATTATTCGAAGATCTCACATATTCAGTATCCCATCCGAAAAAGTGACAGGAACGATATCGATCAATTTTTTGGTTAAAAAAAGCGAGAAAAATCAACTGCAAAAATCCTAGACAAACAAATTTATATTTGCGTAAAATGCTTCTGCTCACAACCAATCAATCAGCTTACAAAATAATCTTTTCACTAGTTGACATTCCATTTTTGAGCAAAAAACGAGGCTTTAAAACCGTTTAGTTACACAAATTTCGATTATTTTCTTGTTTTTAAATTAGAACCAAATTTTAACAGAGCCCATTCAAACCCAAAACTTGGAAACTTTACGTTAATTTCCTAAAATATTATTACTAGGCAAATTATTTGGTTAAAAATGAAAATCAATGATATGGCACCTAAGCCGATAATTTTTCAGCAGACACCAACTGAACCGAAAAAAAGCTTTATAATTTAAAAAAACTTTTTAAAAATCTTTCGAGTCCCCCCCCCCTGAAATTAGAATGAACAACACTTGCACTTGAAACTACAAGGAAAATTGTTTAAACCACAAGCAAAATACGTTGTGGCATTTCGTCCGACAAAACTTGAGCGAACCAACGAAAAACCAACAATTCATTTTTCTCGGAATCTTTTTTTTGTTTCAATTTTCTTGATACTGAAAAAACAAGATCCGGCCACTACTCGAACCCCAGACCTTAGGGTAGACACGCAATTGTTTTACCTCCAGGCCAAGGGGCAGCAAACTGGAAGATGTTAAAAGAAGAGAAAAGGAAAGTCAACAAGTGATTCAACTGATTTTGTAAAACTAGTTGTTAACTAGAAAAAAGTGTATATTCCAGTTTGATAACGCTTGCTTATCGCAAGCGTAATAATAATCATGACTTAGAGACGAAGCTTTATTTTGCAGACTTTTGCGTCAACACCACAAAAAGCAGTCTTATAAAGTGCATTAATTAAAATTAGAAATAAGCCTCGAATTAGAAAAAAATCGGCAACCTGTAAGGTTCGAACCTAAGACCTAGAGATTGAGAGACTCGCACACTAACCACTCAGCCAAAGAAGCGGAAGTGTATTAGGTGCCAAACACTCGCCACAACTTAAACAGAGAACAGATGCTATGCAAATTCCAATGCTACATAGAAACTTCCAAACAAAAGAACACTTTTAATGAACACTTTTTGCGAGCTAGCTTAGAAAAAAGAAGGTTCATGATAACACACTAAGCTGATCACAAGTGTAATAATAATAAAAAAAAACAGAGGCGAAGCTGAGCTTCGCATCACTTGCGATACAAAAAAAAAAGAAAAACGCAGTCGAAAAAAATCGGAAATGACCAAAAAACTAGATCTATCAGAATGAATAAGGCATGTTTTGAAATTCAAAATCATCATCAAAAGAAAACGTACAAGCTGCAATAAAGCCGAAAGTGCATTAGCAGAAACCCATTAACCTGGAAAAAAAGCAAGAATTATAAAAAATTATTAAATCTTCAACTCAGCACACACAAAAAACAAAAAAAAATTTGTTGGTCACATAAAACAATGTGAGGCTACTGAGCCGCCGATATAAAAGACCGAAACAAACAACCGAAAAAAAAAACGAAAAAAGAAGCAAGCGAAAAAAAATCAAAAAAATTGAGACAAAAAAAGTTAGTAAGCCCTCCTCACGCACCCTTCAAACACACTCGAACAAAAAAACTTAAAATTTTCTCTTATCGAACGACGCAATTTGAGGCCACTAAGCCGACGTTTTACAGGCCGAAACCTATCAAGTTGAAAAAAAAAAGAAAATGAAAAAAAAGCCGCAGAACAGCTCAAAAAATTTTAGACTAATAAAATGATATTAAGTCCCCTCACCTTCAAAACACATTCACGCAAAAAAAAAAACATTTTCGCTTATTGAACGACATAGCACAATATGAGGCCACTACGCCGATAAAAAAATCGAAATCTATGAAGACGAAAAGTTCGAAATCTATGAAGACGAAAAACAAAAGAGGAAATTTTAACAAATCGAGTTGGTAAAATTATAAACATTAAAAAAATCGAATACGACAGCTATTTAAAATACTAACATGCACTTTAGAAGAGGTGCATGGTAGCATTTTAGAAACGGTTATTTAGTTGCTAGGAGAGGCTTCCAGGAAATGAGTCCTCTTACAAAAAATAAGTCTAGTACCCGATTGCAATACCTTTGCTTATCGCAAGGGTAATTAAAAATTGAGCGATATTAATTTTTTCGAAAAATAAAATCCCTTCTTTGCCGTTAAGTCGATGCAAAATAGTTTCGACAAATCATACGTCGAAAAACAATATCCAAACTATTCAAAAACTCCCCCGAACAAAAATCAATTTCATACACTGAAAAAAAAACAATGTCCGGCCGGGACTCGAGCCACAGGCTTTAAGGTGCAAAGGCAACTGCATTACCACCAGACTAACTAAAACGGGGCCTGGAAATTGCTAAGATTCAATATACTGAAGCAATTTTATTTATTTTTTACAAATATGAAAGATATGTTGTTTACGGGAAAAAAAGGTCTAGTTCCCGATTACAAGAAACTTGCTTTCGCAAATATAAATACGCTGGTCGCTGGATTTGAATAGGTGAGTCCCTTGCCCTTTTCAATAGTCAAATTGGGATTTTATGCGTTAACAAATTCAAAAAGCAAAAAAAGTAAAGCTAAATTTGTGTATTATATATTTTAAAAGTACAAATCACACAGTCCTTCAGTTTCGTCTAAACTAAGCCTATAATCAGTTTGCAAAGGCGGAGGTGATACAGGCACGGCGCATTCACTAAGTCCCTTCTCGTGTTGCAAAGCAAAAAACTCTCCCTTAACTCTCGAAGATCCTTCTGAAAGGCTAGTAGGAACCACTCCTTTCAAGTGATCGAAAGGCCGCAAGAGTTTAACTGTAGTTGATTGCGTTTTGGAAACTACTCGTAATTCAAACTGTGTTTTATCGTCGTATTGAGGTAAAACCGGACATTGAACTTTAGCACCGATCGGAGATTCAATAGCAATTACAGTTTCATTTGAAGGAAAACATTTCGCGGTCTCACTTTGCGAGACATACATAAGCTTTTCTGAATCCAAATTATCGGTCAAATTTTTCAAACTCTGTTCCATATAAAATCTATACTGGTCCAAGGTTCGTTCTAATTTTTCCAGACGTTCATTGTCATTCCGCATTTTGGCTAATTTTAATTTGACTGGCTTCGAGTTGGAAAAAGGCCCCCCTCCTTTCCAAATCACAACTGTACTGTGAAGTTCTTTCTCAATAAGTCCAATTCCCGTCAAAACATTAACAATGTCATAAATTCTCCGTTTATTTTTCACATTTAGAGCTCTCGTGATATTTTTGAGATCCAAAACGCCTTCTTTTGTATCACGGAGAAGCTTCACAAGTTTTACTGCCAATTTGTTCACGTTCGAGTCAACAACTAACTGCTCATCAGCTGTTTGCAATAACGATGAAATCGAGTCCGAAGTTTTCACGTGTTCGTTCATTTTTTCACGTCGCTTAGTTCGGAGCAACGGCAAATCATCTCCCGAATTTTCATTTTCTTCTCGGAAAAACTCGTCCATGTCAAAATCAGGATCATCTGTTCTATTTTTCTTTAGCGCGGGTTCATTGTCGAGCCTATCCGTCGATTTTCTTTTGGGTGGGAGAGCTATTTCAGCGACTTCTTCTTCAAATTGGTACTGGTCACTGCTATAGTCTTGTCGCTCTGATTCTTCTAATCTTAACGATTCGTACTGCTCCGGTAACCGATTACGTAACTTATAAGGCGATTGCGTAATTTGCGGTTGCTCGATATTGCCTCCAGTCTGCTTCGCCACAGACTCATCAGTTTCCTCATCGACATACGGAACGACTGTTTCTTCCAGGATGATTTGCTCGTCTTGGATATTTGACAAATTCAAGTCCAAATCGGACAAAATCTCATTATGCGCGTCACTATATTCAACATTCATATCAGAAATATTATTTGTGTTGAAGTCTGAAACCTTTCCTGGGCTATGCGGGGTTATGTATCCACCTCTATTCGAAGTGTGGTTCCGCAAGTTGGGAATTGTGACTACTTTTCTGCTATTCATCGGATGTTCGATCTGTGTCGTGGTTTTAGTCGCATTGAGTAGTTTTATGATATCATCTGCGATTGATTTATCAACTTTGGAGGGGGATGAAGTTACAAATTTTTGGTTTTTAAACGGTGAAAGAATAATCGGAGATTGATTCTTCTCCGAGAAGGTCATTGTGATCTGGAAAAAATATATATTTTCAAAATTACCAACCATTCGATCAAAACCAAAATCTAATTGATTCAAGAAAAATTAAAGTAGTTTGACTTTGGTTAAAAAATTTATAGCATTTAAGAATTTTTCCAAATATAAATATTTATGGTGTTATAAACAAATCACTAAAAACTAGCAAAAATTTGGCACATCAAATCAGTTGCAAACTTTCAGTCTTGCGAATTGCTTTTTCATGTAGATCAAAAGCGCCTGTTAACTTTAATTAAACTAATTTAGATTTCAATTAAATTGAATAGATTTCACATTTAAACAGCAATCTGCAGAGCTCATACATAAATTGTTTCCACTCCATGACAGTCCTTCCAAGGACCCATTAGCCACTTTCTTGCAGAAGACACAGCACTGGGGCCTATGCACGAACTCCCAAACATCATTCGCGTCCACGTCCGAAACCACTTCGGCTTGCGAGAGCGAAAACACGAGAAGGTAGCCGTGTTGAGTCACGACTGCCAAATGCGAACCCGTAGATTGCAAACACGTGTAAGTGAGTGTATGCCAATCAGCTAAAAACGAAGTCGACAACAATATGACCAAATTGAACTCAATCTCACAACTCTGAACGTCTTCTGTTTCAGTCTGAACTCTTCGTTCTGAGCCCTCGAGCTCGATTTTTTTGTTCACATCGGATTTAAGTCGTCGGAATGTTTCGCACACACGGTAAACTCGGATCGATTTGTCGTCGGAGCACGAGCAAAGGAAACTGATGTGTCTTTCCGGATTCGAAATGCCGTCTTCAGCTGCGGTTTGGTCGGAGATTTGCATAGAATGGTCTAGTTCCAGTAGCTGCCAATCAAGACATGTAACTGCGAACCTGGGAACAGAAATCATAAGCAAACGACAATATATCTAAACAGGGATACCTATTACACACGAACCGAATTCCGGTTTCAGAAGTCTGACCTGACCTGCCTTTACGATTAATTTTGGTTCCACCAGCAATTCTGGTTGCCAAAATTTTCCAAAGACCACTTTGATACTACTTAACGACAGCCATATCTGGCTAACCATCCTGTAGGTATAAATTTTTCTAATAGTCACTTACTTTGAGGGGGTGACAGCCGAAAAAACGCAATTTTTGACACCTGAAAAGTCCTCAAACTCGAAGTTCCTTCAAAAAATCACATGCGGTGCAGAGTATTATATCGACTAAATTGAATTGGGGTTTCGGTAGAGCTCGAAAAAAACATGCGTAACATGTAGAGCTATGCATGTATAACTCCAATTGATGCCCTCAAACTATCATCAAGTTTGATATGATGGTCCCAGATATAAGCAGAAAAAACTTCAAAAATATACTATCTCTATGAGTAAAACAGCGCGAAGACCCCATAACTACTGACTTATGGTAATTTTATTACCTGTGGCCGGTCAACACGTAAACTGGACTTGACACTGGTTTGTTCTCAGTCACCCAAGCCCTCTCTTCTCCCTCGCCATCATCTATTTCGTCGAAACTCGTGTCTGGATCAGCAGCCTTAGCCGCCGCTATTTCAGAATTGAGTGACCACACTCGCACCTTAACAAAGAGAATTGTCACGTTGACTCATTTTGAGTCGAAAACCGACTAGCATGAAATGAATCAGTTGATTGATTAATGATATTACATCCAACTACTACTGTTTCAACAATGAGAATCTAAAAACTATTCCCCATATTTACTTCGCATATGTCTCACAAAACTCAGAAAACTGTATCCATAAATAAAACTTTTATTTCGCTGGGAAATCTGATATTTAATTTCCATTTTCGAAACGTTTGTCGATCACGTTTTTTGTGACCTTTACACTTTTACTGTTTGATAGTGGAGTTTGAGTTTGCCTTGAGAAACTTAAAAAATCACAATTCAAACTCCCCCCCCCCCCAAAAAAAAAGACAAAAAAATCATCTATATAAGACCTATATAAGAGTACTCACTACGTTACCCTTAAACATTACCAGCTATATTACAGGAATACAACAAACAGATTTTCAATTATAGCAAAAATTGCTTAAACTACAAGATAAATTTTTATAAATTACAGGAATACATCAAAAACAATCGCATCTACGTCAAAAAGTGCTGCCCGAACAAGAAAAATCCACAATGTGGCAACTAAGCCGATAAAACATAAGCAGACACACAAAATCGATAATTCAATTTTTCCCGGAAACTTTTTTATAATTCAAAACATACTGAAAAAAAAACAAGGTCTAGCCAAAAAAAAAAACACTCTTTTCTGGTATAAAAAAGTTTCAAGTTAAAAAAAACAAAATCAGTATAAAAGAAATTCTCAGAATAGTTTTTAGATCACGCTGCATTAAGACTAAATATTTCAGACAACGCGATAGGACTGTATGCGAATATATAAGCATACAGTGCAAAGGAATTAACCTATCCATTTAACACAGACGCTAATCTGCGCGCTTCGCACACCAGCGAGAACACGACAAAAAGCAGCTCTATAAACTGCAATAACAAAAAGTAGAAATAAGCCTCGAACCAGTAAAAATTCGGCTGCGTCTCGGATTCGATCTGCGACCTAGAGATTATGAGTCTCACACACTAACCACTCAGCCACGGACGCTTAATAAATCATAAACACTAGCCACAAGTAAAGGAGAGAACAGATGCTATGAAATTTCCAACGCTACAGATCGTGATTATAGCAAAAAAGCCACCAAATAAGTGAACAATTTCATTTGCGAGTTAGAAAAAAAAGGTTCGCACTAATACTCGCAAGCTTGATAGTGGGCAAACACGTACTTGTTGGTCCTCTGAACAGGTGACAAAATGCTGGGGAGAGAGGGGGTGTCCTATGGGAGTCCAGGCACATGACCACACTTCTGCAAAGTGTCCCAGCGATCCGAAGTTGTCGTTGGACTCCGCGATTGGATGATGAGCTAAAATTAACCATATGAATGGACACACGCTAAAGAAGAAGTGAATCAAAGAAGTTCGTCACTTTATCCGATTAAATTAAGGACAGGAAGGGCTGAAAAGTAATCACATGTAAGCTCACTTTTCATGAATTTTTCAGTTTTTTAATCCGCTGAAAAATCTAAACATAGCCAATATACAGTTGGAAAAGAGTCAATGAACGCAAGAAAACAGACAACAAATTGTCTTGTTTTATGGTTGACATTTTTATCAAACAATATGAGAAAACTGGATCAATATGTAAATTTCTATTCCGCTGGGAAATCTGAAAATTAAAATCGATTTTCGAAATTAGAAGTCGATCACGCTTTTCGTGACTTTTACAATTTTGATGTTCGATAGTGAAGTTTACCTTCCTTTTAACAGAGAATCAAAAGTCAAGCCAAAACTAAATTTGAGCCTACACAAAATTTAAGACTTCATACTGCAAAAATTCATCGCGACCTATACAAGAGAGAGTCTTCACTAGGTCCATCGACTCTTAAAAATTAAACTCCACTTTCAAATCTGGAAACTTTTTACGCCGTTTCCGTTCTCGTATTTAGGAACGCATTTTGCCAACCTTTCAGCAAATGAAATTGAATTGAACTCAAAAAATGCACCTATACCTAATTGCATTCACAAATGCATCAAAATGTATGAATGCAGTTCTATAGCTAAAAAAGCCTTTTGAGACAAAAAAAATCATCAAGACCTATATAAATGAAAAATATTTCGTTCTTTATACTTTATAAATACAAGAAAGATAGGTAAAAAGAGCGATCCCCTTTTGTTTAAAAAACCGTTTAAGTAAAAACTAGTCAATTACAAAAACACGAAATTGTCTCAAATCAATTTCCCATATTTCTAGGTATGTATACAAAGACAACAAAATATCTGTTCTCTAAAACTTTCAGTGATGCCTCCTTTTCTGAAATGAATATTGCTTGTCTCAAACAAAAGCGTAGCACTAAGACAACTAAAGGATTGGAGTAATGTTCAAGAACTCAAACTGTTAAAAAAAATTGAATACTATTTTAAACACAATTCACAACCAGCTAAAACCGATTTTTTCTGATGAATCTAACTCATTTCATAAAAAATGGATCAAAGAAATTTTCATTCTTTGTTATTGGGATGGGGCTTTGTATTCGGGTGTATTTTAGTTTTTTCTGGTTTTCCACGCAAATTTAAGTACCCAAAATAATCATCGGTATAGGTCGAGTGATATATCACAGTAAATCCCTATCAGTCGTTTTTCGAGCGACATAAAAAATTTCAAAAGTTGTACCAGTGTCGAGAAAAACAATTTTAAGTTTTCGATATTTAGTCTAGTTTATAAGATTTATTACGTTTTTCAACCAAAAGAAATTACCACAAACAATCATCAGAATGATGGGAGTGATATATCATATTCAAGCTCTTTCAGCCCTGATTCGAACGACATCAAAAAAATTTTCAAAAAATTGTCTCAGTATCGAGAAAACAACTTTTTAAGTTTTTGACTTTTCGTCTAATTTTGAGCTAGAAAAGCGAGGGAGAAGGTTTATTACATTTTTCAACAAAAAAGAAGTTACCACAACTAATCATCACAATGGTAAAAATGATATAACATAATAAAGCTTTTTCAGCCCAGATTCGCACGATATGATGAAGACAAAACTTGCTTACAAGTTGCGTCAACAATTAAACCGGTAGTAACACAACTATTGATTGACTGACTGAAAAAACTAAAGAAGATCAGTTTTCCGGAGTAAATTGTTTATAAATTGATGTGTACGATTTTAGCAAAAAAAATAGCAACACATTCAGTCTGTACAAAAAGTTAAGCAGATTTTGTCTCAGTTTTTTAAAGTTTCAAAGTTTTTTTAAGTTTCAAAACATAACCAACATACAGTTGGAGAAGAGTCAATGAACGCAAGTAAAGAAAAAATACTGACTTGTTATTTTTTCTTGCAAAAATCTCAACTTACAAATTTCAAAGAAAATAGAATCCCTTTAAGCTCTTTGAATTTCTAGAGAAATTTATGATTGGTGCTTTTCGATAACATCGATAACCAAACTAGAAAACTGGATCAATAGGTAAAGTTTTTATTACGCTGGAAATCTAAAAATTAAATTCGATGTTCAAAACTAGAAATCGTTCACGTTTTTGCGCCTTCCACGTTCGTATTCGGAGAGTGATATTTGCATAGCAACCGGTTATCTTTGTTGAAATTTGAGTTATTCTATCAACCCTTAACAATACGTACCCAAAAAAGTAGTGAGCTTCGTAAATGACGCAACAAACAACCCTCCGTCTATGTGACCCGACTCTGAAGATTCGAACTTGTTCATCAGTTCCTTTCGATTGAAACAGAAATCATGTCTGTAGAGTACCACGTGACCAGAGGTAGTTCCAACCAATAAAATAGCAGCAGCGTGATCGAAACATGAACTTGATGCAACTTCCGAGCCGAATTGTGAATAGACTTGTCCGTAGTTTTTCTGTTCATTTGCTGTGGGGAAGAACGGAAGTGACCACTTTAAACATGTAATAGCACCTGATGATATGTTGTCGATTTGAACTGGAACACAATGATCCGACTGAAAAAAAAAAGCATTCAGCAAAATCGGATAAAATATGAACTTGATGGCACATAAAAAAAAAACATTTCAAAGAGTTCATATTTCATGAATAACGCCTATACGAACTTCCTATCTGATTCTTTTTGACCGTCTTCGCAAGTAACCTTAGCTTTGCTTAGATGTTTCAGATTTTTCTATATGAAACCAATCGACGAAAAAAAGTTGATATAACACTGTTGACAAAATGCTTTGCCAAGAATCGGTACAAAGTTAATTAAACTAAGACCGCTCATTCTGACGTCGGAAATCAAATTTACACGCAGTTCACATTTGCGATACAACGCAAGCGCAGCATTGCAAGCTAGCGAACACAAAATGAGATAGAAATAACAAAATCGAAAAAAAAATTGGGAAAAAATTTAAGTAAAACAGTCGAAAAACAAAACCACCATTACTAAAAAAGCTTTTAACATTTAACGAGCGGCCATTATGCCGACAACCCAGTGGGTAAAGCCTATTGAGACGAACACAGCAAAATGCCATCAAAAAATGTTATAAAATGAGCAATCTATCTATTATACAATTAAAAGCGGGCTTCACTATCACGCCATGTTTAAGTCTTTCCGACAATTTTTTTTACATGTTAAATGAAATTTTTTTTTCACATTTAAGCTATATCGTATATTGCAATGCTTAAGAAATTATTTCGATTGTCAAGTGTGAATTCAGTGTTCATAACACCAAGTTTGAACACAGAAGCGAAGTTGCACTTCGCATACACAAGCAAAAATATGACCAATAACGCTACTGGAAAAACTGATGAGTAAAGCTACAAAACTTCCTAAGTGACGCACGCCAATTATGACGCATTTTTTAATTTGAGATTTTTTGTGAAAATCATTTCCCCACACGCCATATTACAGACAAAAAGATAACTTTCGCTCCTAGTAACAAATCAATTATGGCAAATAAGCTTCCTACACCAGCTTGGAACGATTTCTATGACGGATTAAATCTCCGCTTACGCGTAAATAGCTCGAAATACATCGCGCGTTAATTTTTATAAATTGGCAATTTTTAAACCACCATAAAATTACGAAAAATTATCACAGAGGAAATATCTTTCCAAATTTAAGCTCAGAACATCAATACTTTTAGAATGATATAATAAATCACGTCAAAAACGGCTAGTTAAAAAGTCAAAATTTGTCTGAAAAAAACGCACAAAATTTGAAATTAACAATTATATTGTGAGCCGCTGTCAGGGTACTTTCATGCATTGCAGATCTTACCCCCAAGTTTGACTCCTCAAACCAACTTAGTTACAGAGAACTGCCGCTTTTTAACTATTTTTCAAAAACTTTTAAAAATAACTTAGATTTATGAAACTTCACAAAGATTGAAGTGGGGTGCTGTCAAAATACTCTAAGGAGTTTTATATCTGCACTCCGAGTCTGACTGCTCAACGACTTTTACTTTCGTAGATCTGACGTTTTATGAAATTTTAAAAGTGATGCCCTTAAAGCTCTCTGAAATTCCAGAAAAATTAATGATTGACACTTTTAGACAAAATTAAGTCAAAATGAGAAAACTGGATTAATATGTAAAGTTTTTATTCTGCTGAAAATTCTGATTAAAATCCATTTTCGAAATTAAACTTTGATCACGTTTTTCTACACTTTTACACTTTTGCTGTTCGATAGTTGAGTTTGCCTTCTTTTTAAATAAACTGATCTGAAAAGGAAATCAAAAACAAAACAGCAAAAAAATTGAGTCTGAGCAAAATTTACACAGAGGCGAAGCTGCACTTCGCAACCACTCGCGAGAACACTTCGCAAACAATCGCGAGAACAAAGCAGCTTTATAAAGTGAAATAAGAAAAGATAGAAATAAGCCTCGATTTAGGAAAAATTTGCCAAGTATGGGCTTCGAAACTGCGACCTCGAGAAATGGATTCTCAAGCCCTGCCCTCACGGCCACGAACGCTCAACAACCGGCAAACACTAGTCACAAATAAAGCAGCTACATATGCTAACAAATTGCCAATTCGAAGCAGCGAAAGTGGCACCAAATACAACTAGACACTATTTTTGCAAGTAAGTTTGGAATATAGCAAACTGAAGGCATCCACGCTAATTTTGGATGTAAAAAGTTGGCAATCATAAAGCCACATTTTGTATGAAGTATGCATTTCATTTTAAAAATTGCGAGATATATTGAGTTACACAATTTCTGAAATCGAATTTTTATTATTGTTGTTGTGTTTGATACAAATAGCTTTTTTCAGTTCATTTGATGAATTTAAAATGCATCAACTGTGTTAACTTATTACTATCCGAATGTCAAACCACATGCAATCAAAAAGCCGTAAGGTTGCCCCAAAAGTGGCACCAATATTTGCGACTTAGGTTTAAAAAAAGAATAGTCGTAGTATAACACTAACGCTCACTAAAGCTCGCTAGTGCAGACTTCATTCTGAAAAAAAATTCATCACCACCTATATAATAGTCTTCACTACGTTCATCGACACTTATTTCTAACAATTTTTGAATGCGAAAGCTAATTTTTCAGAGAGAAAGTATGTCTCAAGGTCATCTAAAATTTCAATTTTGCTTATTATAATTATATAAACAAAAGCGAAGCTGCACGTCGCAACAAAAAGCAAAAACGTTGCAAACGTGAGCTTTGGAATGCAAAAAAATAGGTGAACAATCTTTGAAAAAAAATTACTTCCGATGGAAATCGAGCCCTAACGAACCCTAACATTGAAGAGTTAACGTCTAACGCCTTCAAAACTGCTTCTAATCTTATCCCATCTGGTATTCAAACAGTGGCCACCATTAAAATGGACCAAACAGTGGCTATTACATTTACGAATAAAAATAGAGCAGTACAAATACACTAAAACAGTACAATTTTTTAGCACTAATTTGTGCGAGTGACAATAGGAAAAAGTGACCTCGTTATTCAACACAATTTAACACAAGCATTTGCGCTTGTGCTAACAACATACCTGCACGTCAACGAAAACGAGGGTAGAATTGAACAGTCCCATAAATAGCACCTCCTCGTAGCTCGGATGCCATCTGAGAGACCTCACACTTTCTTCTGCACTGTACAGTCCGTGTATATTACCATTACACTTCATATTAACCCCAACTGCGCCATCTTTCACTTCGCTTGAAGATGCATTTTGACTGGCCAGTTCGTGAGCCGAACGATCCAAATCCGAGACGACTATTTGCCCGGAGAAATCACCGGCTGCCACATATTTGCAGTTGGACGCACAACCAATGCAAGTAATGTTGAACAAGCAACGACGGTCGATTGCGCCAAAGCCTAAAACCGATTTTTCCCTTAATTTTCGAATAGTTCAGTATATCTAGAACGAGAGATAACCTCAAATGCTTAAGTATCAGCATATGTTAATTTCAAAAACTTCACAATGTAGCAGAAGATTTCTGAATCGATTGAAGCCATTTATCCAAAAAATGACATTTGTTAGGAGAAGCTGTTCCAACTTCAGGTAACTTTTTGAAGTAACTCAGAAAACAATTTTTCAGGGTTGTAAACGATATGATCTCAGGGTTGAAATTAAATTTAGCAGCTTACTTGAGTTCCGGTCAACCCGTGCGATCTTTGACACCACTATTTCGTACTGGGTAAACACAACCACAAAATCATTCGAGATTTGTTTCAGAGCCACATACACATCCGCAACATCTTCGCTTATAAATTCAAATTGAATTCCGTCTTTCTCAAATTCTTTCCAAAATTCTTCTTTTACTGCTTTGCCGGCGCGCACATATTGTTTCGTAGGTAAGTTAATTACCAATTCTTTACCATGATTTGAGTTGCTGACTTCATTGTTGGAAATGTTTGCAGGATTGATGCACATTAACACTCCCGCACTGATTATCAATTTGAGTATGTTGTCGTAAAACATGGGGGCACAGTTTCCCAAATGTTGCCATGATAGTACTGTAAGGAGAGAGTGTGACTTCAAATCGACAAGTGCAATTTTCCGCGAAGATCTAAAAACAATTAAATTCAAAAGTTCCCTGATAAAGCATTTTGCAAACACCTCGGCCACGCAAGCTTAACAACCGACAAACTAGTCTCGAATAAAGCAGCTACATATGCTAATAAATTGCCAATTCGATGCAGCAAAAGTAACATCAAATAGAAAAAGATACAATTTTGCATGTAACAAATCGCAAAGCATAAAGCCACATTACGTACAAATTATGCATTTCAAAAAATTGCGATATATTGAGTTAGAAAACTACTGAAATCGAGTTTTTATTATTGTGATTTTGTTTGAAACAAATAGCTTTTTTTCGGTTCATTTGATGGGCTCTTTTCCAGTCCCCCCCTTTCAAAATACCGAGTTTTATGTTTGTTTTACGTGTTATTACGGCTAAATGCGTGATGTTACGCTGTAAAGTAGGAAGAACAAATCTGTTCAGAATTGTCGATTTGTTCACCACGCCAAATTTCATTGCATTATAACAACGTTAAATAAGCTTTTCAAAATTGAATTTGAAAGGGGGGAACTGGAAAAGAGCCATTTGATGAATTAAAAGTACATCAACTGTGTTAATTTATTACTATTCGAATGTCAAAGCACATGCTATCAAAAAGCTGCAAAGGCCTCCTAAATGTGGCACCAATATTTGCGACTTAGATTGGAAAAAAGCAGGTTCGTACAATTACGCTAGCTTCACAGAGTAAACATCTTGTCTAAATTTTAGATAAATCTTGCGTTTTTATGAGCCTTTGAAAAAAAATAGAAAGATTCGGCTAAAAAAAAATTAGCTTTTTCGATAAAAATAAATTTCAAAAATGACTGAGAGAGAAACTCACCTGTACATTAAGGCACAGAAAGCTTCGCAGCAACAAACTAAACCGATTTTCTGATCCACTTCAAGAAAAATTTCATATTTCGGCTTCCATTTGAAATCTGATCCACTCAATTCCTGGAAATCATAGAACTCAATTCTGTAACCAAATGGATCCATGTCACGGGGAGTATGCATTCCTTTTGCTACATCCGGAGGTATATTTCTGCAAACTGACATCAGCTCAATTTTTCGGCTGTTCTCAGAGTTGCTGAGAGGTTGGAGAAATCGAATGAATTCGACGCACGTGCTGAGCGTGGATACGAATGTCAACCTATTACCTTTGAGACAAACTTAATTTTAACTTTCAATGAGTTGAAATCTTGATTTATCTCCTAAAGATACAAAACATTCATCCTTTGAATTTACAAAACTTCAATTGAAACAGATAAGAATAATTTTACTTTAAAGCTAAATTTTACTCTTTCATAAAATGATATAACTTGGAAGCTATTTTTACTACTTTACTACCTTTTACTTTACTAACTTTACTTTTACTAGCTAACTTTAGTAGCTATTGTTATGTAACTCGCAGGTAAAATTTACTTATGCCAACTTGAAAAAAAAAACTCGAAATAAGTTTGTCTCAATGGATTCCTCGACATTACCATTTTCAATTTCGAGCAGGATCAATCTGAAAACTCCTTCAAGAGCAACGGCCACGTATTTGTCTGTAACAGACAACTGTTTCGACTTCAAGTCTAAGTCTGCCAGCTGCAGCGAAAACAAGTCAGTCGCGTAAGAGAACTGCTGTGAAGTCAAATCTAATGTGTCCAGGATTTGTCGAGTAATTCGGTCCCAAAGAATTATTTCTCCGTCAAAATCACATGTTACTATATGATTTCGAGCAATACAGATACAAGCAACACATCCTAAAAAACAACACCTAATTTTCAAAAAACAATTATATGAACAAAAACAATCAACAAAGAATAATTATGTTAAAAATCATCTGAGATAACTTTTTATTTAATCGTTTTTTTTGGCACAGATTAATAAAGAAATATTGAATTGATTGTTTCAAAAATCGCGTTTTTTCATTTTACCAGACAATATTTTGCTTCGACGACATTTAACGTTTTTTTTTTCTGGCTGTTTCGCCAGATGACGCTGAACAATTTAATTTTCGGAAATTTCCTCTAGTTGTTCAAGCAGGGTAGCTTATCAATATACCCTCAAATATATCAGCATTTAAAGTAACCTCACTGCACCTGTATGATGTTGAGACTCTACTGAAAACGGAACATGGTTCACGATTTCCGAGTCCTCGTCAAACTCCAGAACTCTTATTTCTTGCCCAGTTGAGTACAATAGCCCTTTAGTTTGACTCGACTGAGGCATGGGATGATTCAATTCCAGACATGAGACACTGTCAGGTCGAGACGAATGAACCCCGATAGTAAAGGAATCGCTAAAGGACACCCGATCCATACATCAACTGAAAAAACCCTTTTTGATCACTACTAACTGAGAAATAACCAAAGTTATCAACGCTAGCATATTATTACTTGAAGCCACCTACGGTTCAAAAATGACATATCCTCAGAAAAAACCCTAGCATACAAAAGAAAGGCAGCTGCAAATATGAATTTGATCGTAAAAATAGTTCTCTTCCGCTGTTTAAGTAAATCGTAAGCCTCGCATTCTCCAACAGCAAACTGGCCTCGGATAACTCACTCGAATGAACAACGTACTACCAATCTTGAACCAATCAGGTCACATCTTTCCTAATGTTTGTTTCTCACTGATTCTCCTTTCAGCTTCTCGAATTTCATCCGGATGCAATGGACCTGTATGTGCCAGTTGGTCTTGAACATCTAAAGCTAAATCAAGGGTTGATCTTCGCAAGTAAGCCTATCAACTTGATAACATAATAGATTTGGATTTCAGAAATAATACCTTCTTCTATCAACTCGCTCATGTAAACTTTCGCAGCACCACATACTGCAATGACAACATTCGGAGGAACTTTATTGCATCCAGTGACACTGGTTATTAACTACAAAAACAAAGATATACACAGAAGCGAAGCTTCGCAAACATTAGCAAGAACACGACAGAAAGCAGCTCTAGAAAGAGAAATAAGAAAAAAAAAGAAAGCCTTGAATTAGCGGAAATTCGGATAGGTCTAGGATTCGATCTGTGACCTGCTGCAATCAAGAGATTTTGAGACTCAATCACTAACTACTCAGCCACGCACGCTTAACCACCGACAAACACTAGTCACGAATAAAGCAGGTACATATGCTAATAAATTGCCAATGGGATTCAGCAAAAGCGGTTACACGTACAAATAAACACAGTTGTGCAAAAAATAATAATTTGGAATTTAACAAACTGAAGGCATGTAACAAATCATTAAGTTTGCATGTAACAAATCATAAAGCACGGAGCCACATTATAGATAAACTATGCATTTCAAAAAATTGCGAGATATATTGAATTAGACAATTTCTAAAGACGAGTTTTTATTATTGTTGTTTGAAACAATAGCTTTTTTTCAGTTCATTTGATGAATTTAAAAGGTATCAACTATGTTAACTTATTACTATTCGAATGTCAAATCACATGCTATCAAAAAGCTGTAAAGGTGCACGAAAAGTGGCACCAATATTTGCGGCTTAGGTTACAAAAAAAGGAACGAAGATGAAGCTAGTGTATAAAAACGATAAGAGACATAAATGTGGTCAAATTTGAGACTGTATGAAGACTGCATTCTCTCTGTCGGAAAAGATTAAGATTTCCTGTGTTTAGTATCTGAATTCTGCGACCCTTGAATTTAATTCAAGTGCCATTAAAAACTATTTATTAACTGAAATATCCATCGTCAATCGCAGAACTGTTTTCTACTCACCTTTTTCATCGTGGCTCTTGAAAAACCAGAGCGCTTGTAATATTCGAAACGATCCAATTGTTCCTCGGAAAAATGAGACACTAGCAACCTAAACATAAGTAATTAAAAAAAAACTTAAAATCATGAGACAATTGCACAAGTAGCATGCCAACTAACTGCATTTTAATCAGCTCATCGATCTTATCTTGAGCCTCAGTCATTCTGAAAAATACCACTTCATCAAGTCAATCAGTATTTTTACCCTCATAATATATAAATCAGAAGGTCAGAAATTTTTATGGTAACCGAAGTTTTTTCACTAGTCCATCATATCACCCAGTCAAAAACCATTGGAATTTCAAAAATTAGGGAAAAATCAAGCCAATCAAATTAAGAAAAAGAACACCAGTGCAGAGAAAACCGGATTGAAAGACACTCGCTAAGATTGACCTGATATGAGGCTACGGGTCTGTCGATACTTAGCTGCGCTTTCGTTTCTTAGGTTTTGCAGATAGAAAAATTCTTCGAAAGTACTTCTATCATATCTGGTGCTCAGTACTCAGGTAGCGCTCGCAACCTGTATTGCGAGGGAGACACCCTGCTCAAGAAAACTACATGCCCTAGGTTCCTCGATACGGGTGGTCAAGTTCATACAGAACTTACTTAGAAAAAATTCACATCTAGGAACGGCTGACCCTGAGTTTCAAAAACTATTGGATGAAAAATTTATCCATCATCAATTAAATCTCTGTATTTGTTTGTCAGTTCAGTTTTGCTATCTCCTTCGGCGGCCCCCATTCCGTTATTGCAAACCAACCGAGCCTGTGCATATTCCAGAAGGGGCTAGGGAGTCAACTAACATTATATCCCACATGAGGTTCCTACCAGCAACTTGTAGGACAAGTGGCAATCCGTATGATTGCATCTGATCTGTCCCGTGGAGATGTGGCTCTAAAAAATTGTGAGTGGTGGCGAAACTAAGCTTTACGAGGGCATTCCAGGTTCAATGCCTAGAGAACCTCCCTGCGTTTTTCAGGCAGGTTAGGCGATGCCATTCATCTTCGGTTACATCTTTTCCGCAAGCGCATCAACGTTTTCCATAAAATTTTAAATTTAGGCTGAGACCAATAGCAACTCTAAGCTGATGATTTGTCAATTTCATTCATAAATTTTTACATGAGATGAAATTGCGATCAGAACTTATTTTGATAAGCATTGAACCTTTGCAGATCATTAGGTTCTAGTTTCAAAAACATTTGAGAAATTCATCATCAAGAATGAGCTCAGTCCATTTGTACCCAGAAAGGGAACCATGTGTCAATCCGCGTAATATTCGACCGGAAGTACATACCGACGGAAAATAAAGCTAGTTCCTAGAACGACTGGCTAGCGTCTAAACACAGCTTCACATGCTTTTAACCGTTTCTACCAAAGCCAGTTCAATGTGTGGTCCATTAACATCGGGTCGACAAAGTCGTTCCAATTTAATGATATCGGCCAAACCGCGCAAACTAACTTAGTTACATGGAAAAATAGTGAGCTCAGGAATGGGTCTCAGTATCCTCAGGCCACCAGGTCATTCCTAAAAACAAGGCTACTACTCATTATCATAGAACTATTGTTTTTGTTCGGTAGATAAAAATCATCATATCCATCGGAGATGGATCAAACCTTTTCCTCAACTCCTAGCTTCTCATAATCTGAAAACGAAATTGATGTTATTTAATTCAAATGAGGACATACCAGGAAGCTAAAATTTGTTTAAAAATCGGTTTCCAGTCTTTTCCCGAGAGCCTTCCGGATTCTTGAATCCGTTAGAGCTGTCTTGTTGTTGATCGAGAAGGGTAGTAAAATCCTCCCAATACCCCTCCGAACTCTCGGGAGCTTTTCCGTAACGGTTGTAGCTGTACTATCATTACAATTCGGAATCCTCTTCCACTATAACTTAAGTCGTTTTTCTCGTTAGTCGCATGTCTGTTATATCAGCGAAATTCGTTGTTCTGATTTTCGCAGTTTTTCAGTATTCGCGAAAAATAAAACTGTCACCTGTCTTTACAAACAAGCGACTCTTTGAAGTTTCACAAGCCATTCAAAAGCGACCTCTCCCAATTCGCTCAATTGAACAATTAACTTCGTTAACTCTTCGAAACATCCAATTTTCTCACCGAACTGCTCCAAATAAAAATTCGCATCTGCCATGCATATCAGGCCATTCTGGTCGAATTTCACACACTCCCTGGAGATCCCGGTCAATGTCCTCATGGAACTTCGAGTAACTCATCAGAATGTTAGTGTCATCGAACAGAATTGAAAAATGCGTGAAAAGATATTTTATGCGCATCACATCGACTCAATACGTGCTACAAATGGCATCATACTACGTTGCTATAGTTTTCTAACATCTTCATTAATCTGCATTCTGAGGATATGATCTAATATAAAAAATAATTTTTTGATCTATAGTGTCATTGTCTCAGGTTAAAACTTTTTCTCTTAAGGTTTAAAAGGTGTTCAAACAAAATATTAGTCGCCGCATGGTCAAAAATTAGTCGCGGCTTTATCAAAATTTAGTCGCGACATGTTTGAAAAATTGGTCCCGGCGATCATAAAATTAGCCGCAGCGTTGTCGAAAATAAGTCGCGGCGGTGAACAATTCAATTCAAAGAAAACATTTTGCATAGGACTGCGTAAAAAATACAGCTAGAAGTGCCTTGATGCGACTTTTCTGGAGCAATATGTCACGCCGACCTACTCTAAACATGTTTCTTCAATAGAATTATTGTTCCGACTTTTTAAACAATGTAAAATTTATGCTTGGTAAGGTTTTTATATTCAATCAGTTCATGGCAATCGGAGTAATAGACTGGACTAACCCTCTGGACTAATCCATGCGCGCTTTAAAGATTTTTTTCATAACAAGAAAATTGTAACGCGAAACACTTTTGCGTGGCGAATTAAACCCCCTAAAAAATAGTTCCACATTTAATGTATGTATGTATGCATGCATGTATGTAGGTAACATGCAAGTCTTTCATTATCCTGTCAAGGTTTTACAGACTTATGTTCTGACTTTGCAGGCTTATGTTCAGACTCTGTAGACTTATGTTTAGACTTTGACCTGCGTGGCGACTATGAATTTTCAGTCCCCACGCGGATCGAATCAGACTGTTTTTTAATCTTGAGTACCAGACTTGTATCAGAGTTTATCAGATTCCTTCACTTGCTGGTATCTTCAATCATGTTTCGACTTTGATGTAGAGCAGTTTTCAAAATTGTTGGTTGTGCAACATCGGCAACACAGAAACGTGAGATTTTTGAAATTATCTGATGTACAGTCACGGGGCTTAGAAATATCAACTTTAAAATTTCAACGAAAAAACGTTTTTTTTTTCATGTTTTGGTCGTTTTCTCTGCAATTATTCAAAAAACCGGATTCAAACTTTGACAAAAAGTAAATGCAATTCTGTGAAAGGGCTTAACAGGACAAAAAATTAAAAAACGTGTTTTGAAGGCGTAAATTAGCTAGCTTGTTACATCATAACTAAATTTTTCATGCTGTGGAAACCTCACAAACAGTACAAGGAATTCAAACTAACGGGCTCAAATTTGTTATTTGGTAAGCTGATGAACGTGAATTATTCATTATGTTGACAAAAAACAGAATTAACAGAAGAAATTTTTTCTAAAAAGTAAATTTCGAACGTTTTCGCAACTATGTGCATCGTCAGGACTTTTACAATAAACTAATCTAAATGACGATAGAACATCAATTTACAAATGTTATTTACAATAAATCACATACAATTTGGTTCTAAACCATCATGATGAAAAATTAGCCAATCACAGTTGACCTCTAAATTACTATTAAGATTAAAATACTTTTAACCTCTAAAATTATTTAAACATTTTTAAATTAATTTGTCTGGAAGTTTCTGAGTCATAATTTCGATTTAGACATCTACGTTTTAAATTAAAAACCAAAAATATTTTGGGGCTAAATTTTCAGTATTAACTCCCTGCTCCTAAACTCGTCGCGCGTGTATTGCCTCTAGTATTAGCAATTTTCTTTGGTTGTTTGACCTATCTATAATTTCCCAACTAAGATCTGCGCAATTTCCCTCAAGTTGGCATTGCTGAAGGTGGAGGCCTACCGGTGAGTCTGCTTTCTTATGTTCCTCAATTCTAGTGGTCAAATGTCGAACAGTTTGTCCGACATAGGTGGAAGTGCATCCACTACATGACAATTTATAAACCACTCTTGACTTGAGGTCATTAGAAAATGCTGACTTCAGTGATGGTAAAAACCACTTGAACGTTAGTTAATTTTCGTAACCTGTTAGCAAAATATTGGCTCTGGTTACCTCTATATTGCACCATCAGCATTGGGGGCTTCCCATCTTTTGGTGATTGAGCTGACAAACACCTCTCACTATCCAGGGGCTTGCCCTTACCCTCGATGATCTTGCACAAGGCGTCTGAAGCCACCTTTGTGGATCATTTTTCAGGGTACTGATTTGTCAGCCATTGCGCCCTATTAGTTTCCATAGCCTTATCAAATTGCTCCCAGCTAGATGTACTCCTAAAAACCCTGAGTACAGTTCCTTGGATAACACTACGCTTATACTGAGTTGGGGCGCAGCTTCTTTAGTTGTCTCTGTTTCTGTTGGTTTTTGATACCAACTGCAAGTAACACGCCTACCCTGCGATACATTTATGTTCAAATCGAGGAACGGCAAATTCCCTTTCGAAATAATTTTCTCTAGAGTGATATGCAAATTTGGATGGATAGAATTGGCGGCATCGAGAAGACAACTCGGCTCCCCTCTGACTGTTCTAACAATGTCATCCACATACCTGAGGAACAATTTCAACTGAGGAGTATTCTTCTCCTTGTTCTTAGCTCGGCAGCAGCTTTCACAGTACCAGACTATCTCGGTTATTGATGCGTATATGTCATCGGATATTTTTCCGCATTTTAGATGATACCAGTTTCGGCAACTCTCGCATTCAGCCCCCTTTGATCTATATGTGATTCTACTGCTGCAGCATGGGCACAAGCCGTTTTTGTCCTTAATTTGATGTATCTCCGTTCCCACCGGTATTTCTTGTCTTAGAGCAAACTCGTACTCTTTCAGCCATAAGTTTGCCAGAATTACAGCGAGGGACGCGCCCATTTCTAAACCATCAACTTGTACATACCAT